ATATATATTAATGATATTATAGTTACAATATTACATAAAATTATAAATTTATAATCATAATATGTTATTAAATATATAATATTATAAATAAAATTTTAAATTAAAAAATTAATTATATAATAATATATTATATTATAAATTTGCAATAATACAAATCACTATAACTCGTTTTCGTTTTACATTTGAAAAAGTAGGGGAAATTGTCTACGCCAAAGGCCCATTTCCATTCCAACTGAATTCTCTGACCCTTAGGAAGAATCCATTCAGATTGTGGGCTTAATATATATAAATACCTTCCTTCACAACTCACAAAAGGCATTGTTCTTGATTCTCTGTTCCAATGGAGCCCATTATCACTTTATTAGAACTAGTAGTATGATACGTGCACGTGAAACTTTGCCATGCTCAAAATCAAGAAAACATCTCCAGTGCTGTTAATCATGAAGGCCTAACTCAAGTTAAAGCTTCCCTTAGGATTTTATATCCAAAAATGGGGAAAAAACAAAGAAGCAGAGGCTCTCCATGAAACCCCCGAATCTGAAAGACTAACATTATATTCCACCATCAAATTTGATCGTTTGTATATGAAAGTCTGGCAACTAGTGTTTCCAACCTTCCTTGTTCAGGCGTCGTGAAGCAAGGCCTTTGGACGAGAGGCTAGGAATGACTGGCATCGGGGGCGTATGGGGTGCCTCCTCGTCATTCCAACTATCATCCCAGCTGTTATCCCATCCATCATTGACATCATCCTCTGTCTTGGCCCTGGCTAAAACAGGCAGCCCCGTATCCAGTTTTTGGTATCTTGAGTGACTGTTTAAAAGATGCCTCTTCTGGACACTGAAGCACATCCAACCTGATGCCAGCATTAGCAGTGCAGCTAAGAATACTGTGACAGTATCAGGGCTTCGCGATATGAAGCTTATGTATGACTTGGCAGATTCATCAGAATCATTTACAGAATTGAGGGCAATCAAATCCTTAAAATCGAGGCTGCAATTACTACTCCCCTCCTTTAGGACAATCACGTTTCCGGTTCCCCCATCTCTAACAGAAACTTTCACCTGTACAATTCATATCAAGTCAAAGATTGCACGTGCTGCATAGTAATGAACCATATCTGTTATGAACATCTAAGCATAATTCACATGAAAAGATTAATGAGCCAGTTGTCTCCATTCAGAAGGCAGGTTTTACCACCCATAACATACCTAATCAGACCAGTCACACTTATCATTAAATAATGCTTTGAAGGTTTTGACGAGAAGGAAGGTGTTGCATTTCAGATAATGTGCAACAGACCAATACTCCAGCAAATGGCAAACAGATGATTTCTTTGCCCCCACCCTTCCCTTTTCTTTTCTTTTTATCCCCAAGTCCTAGTCAATTGTCAGTGTTTGATTCATAGCAAATAACAATCATGCATAAATGTTGCTGATAAAAAAGAACAATTATGCATAAATTTAAAACTTGCTTATGTTTTGTATATTGCGATAAGTTAAAACATGCTGTGATTATTCACAAGAAGCCAGTAAAATGGGACGAATCACACCATATGGCTCTTATCCCAGCATCTAAAGTCTAAACTATTCAGATTCATAAAAGACAAAACAAGCAAACCACTAAATTGTTAAGAAATATTAAATAGCAGAAGAATAAAGAATTGTTTTGAGGCGTGATTTCACTTTCGTTAAGAATTTAAAATGCTTGAAAAGTCACTATTTAGATGTATCTCTCCAAAAGACACCATTTCATCGAGGTATCTTTTGACTGCTATCTTTCTAAATTATAATTTAATAAAAAATCTGAAAATAATAAAAAATTAAAGATATTCTGATAATCAAATCCCAAGTTGTCCCAAGTGTCCAAATACCCATCTTTTGACTATATATAAAGGCCTAAGACTCAATTTCCCTTGAATTTCATTTTACTTAATTAGTTGTTGATAAAGAATAAGCATTTATAAACTCTTTTAAGTTTTCATACTTTCTTGATGTGGGATCTCAAACATTTACAAACTATTCAACATAAATTACAAGATGATCTATTTGACTCATAATGTTGTTAACTTTTGATCTTCTTTTTTCTGGGACATGGACTTTTGTTTTCTCCAACTGAACAAAAGCAGGAGCAGATATTGTAATTGTGTGAGGGCCTTTTGCCTTGTTTATAATCAAAAGAAATATTTCTGGAGATTCTGGATTACAAATGAAAGTTGAGATAAGAAATTTCAGTCAAAGAACAAGGAGAGGAGGGGAGATGGAATTTTATTCACTGTGATCACCAACAGTCACTGTTCATACCCTATCACAAACTTGCAGCAATTGAATAATTATCATAGCAAGGATTAAACACTAAGGAGTAAGTGTAACAAATCAACCTCAACAACCCATTAAGTTAACATATTAGGGAATTGTGATTAGAGAAACAAGGTGTTTCAGTAAATAGTGACATCCACATTTGTTTGTTATGGCCTTACATTCAAGCCTTTACACACCAATTAGTTATTATATTATGTACTTAATGTGCTGGAAATGTCAGATAAAAGAACTAATTACGAATTGTTTGAACACCACAAAAAAGACAGATACGGTCTAAAACAACCCAAAATAGAGGAAAAAGATTGTTTACCATTTCCTGGAACTTGCAAACGTGCAACAAACTTCCTATCCTCATCCGTGCACATAGTAGATGGATCACATTCTCCCCCCCCGGCCCGGAAACCATCCTTCCTCACCTTTGCTTCTCCAGCATGGTCTCCCTCATTAGGCAATTTCTTTGTATCCACATTGTCACTGGAAGCTCTCATTTTTAATATCACAACTCTTTCCTTTCGTTTCAGGACTTATTCTCTATGGCTAATTTGCACACGACATCCTTCCTTGGAACCCAGTTGCTCAGTTGAGTTTTTTTTTTTTTTTTTTTTTTTCATTGATGGTAAGCTATATAAAATGAGATAGTGATTCTCTTTTCTCAAATCCCTTCCCATTAATAAATTTTAATTAAAATTTTTAATTTAAAATTTTTAACTTTTAATCAATTAAGTTATCCACTTTATAACGTAAGCTATATAAAATGAGATAGTGATTCTCTTTTCTCAAATCCCTTCCCATTAATAAATTTTAATTAAAATTTTTAATTTAAAATCTTTAACTTTTAATCAATTAAGTTATCCACTTTATAACTTAATTTATAAAATAATATTTATTTATCAGTAGATCTAATAATTAAGATTTTGAAGTCTTTATAGACCTACCATGCAGTTGCAAAACAGGAATGGTTATAGCCATCATTGAAACCTTAAGGCCACCCAATTTTATAAATATTATTCGTTAAAATAGTAATTTTTTATTAAAAATTAAAATAATTAATAATTATAATTGTTAATTAATAATTAATAAAATAATAAATATTTATTATTAATAAATTAATATACTAATATTTTTAAATATTATAATTAACTATTTAAAAAATATTTATCAAAATATAAGTCACCCTAAAAAATTTAATTGGTAAAAACTCTTAAATTATATCCTTCACGAAGAAAAGCTCGAACCACGAGCCCATTTCCAAGAGCCAACAGCCAACAAGATATATATACACAACATTTAGGCCGGTCCATTCCCATGTGAGTAGCATTCTTCTCTTCCAACCTGGTTCAGGTGGCAGTCCTTAGCAGGTTCCACCAATCGTTGATTCACACATACAGTGCTGATACAGAAGTCAGGGCGATGAAAAGGCAGCTTTAATTCACCTAAAAGGGAAAATACCAAAGCCAAATTATTTGAATAAAAAAATCAGTGGCTAGAAAGTGTCACAAATCTCCATCATCATCGTGTAGGTGGTGGCTGCAGCCCAGGTGGCAACCAATTACCCTCAAAGCAGGGTTTATATCATGATATTTGCACCAACAAAGTCTAAAACCATTTATGAAAAAGAGAAGAATCTTTTGATTTCATTATCAAATTTAATTAAGACAGTAACTAATGAATTAAGAAGATGTGAAGGTTGCGTTTGGTAGGAGAGGCTTAATTAATGACTGGGGAACCCAAAGTCTTCAAAAGGCTACTGCGGTTGAGTAGGGGCTTTAGTTTAGCCCAGAGACAAGACAAGAGGGATAGAAGGGAAGTGGAATGTCAAACCGACCCAGTTTGACAATTTCAAATATTCCTAGAACTGGGAAGACACCCAAACCTAAGACAAGACAGCTTACTGCAATGAGCCACTATTCCACTATTTTTCTGTTTGTTCAAAACTTTTTTGGGGAGCTATTATCTTAATTTCTTCCAAGAATTGAATTTTTACTGATAAAATTTGTAGAACAAATTAATGATTCAGAGCATCTCTGAAATACAAATCTAGCTTCTTTTTCTTTTTCTTCTTTTTTTTTTTTTCTAGGTTAAATGTTAAATTTGGTCCCTCAACTTTAGTGAATTGCACATTTTTGGTCCCTCAATAATTTTTTGCATTTTTTTGATCTCTCAACTCTAAGAAATGCATACCGTTAGTTCTTCTGTCAATTTAGACCGTTAACTTTGCCATATGGCATTTTTTATGTTTTTTTTTATGACATGGCAAAAACAACATTAAAAAGTGCTGATTTGGAATTTTTTTTGATGACATGTTCAATGCTAACTCATAAATTAAATTTGTTTAGGATTTATATTTTTAATAAAAAATAAAAAAGTTCGACTCATCTTCTGCCTTTCTTTTTTTTTTCTTTTTAATTTGGTTAATATTTTCTACTTTATAATTATATAATTATATTTATTTTATTTAAAAT